TAGTATTTGGTATGCAAAAAAACAAACAAACAAAAAAAAAACAGAGAAATTGTGTGAAATAGATGGAAGTTACAAATTTCCTTGCTGTGCCAATCATTGATGGTTTTTGTATTTTTTTTAAGATGCGAATTAGCGAAAACAGAACTCATGCATTAAATGATAAACGAATGCCTGCTAGTGAATGGCTTGGATGTACCTTGAACACATTGACTATTTCTTTCTAATCAATTTCAAACGAACACTTCTTGTCTTTACCTTCCTTGATTCTGGTGATCAACTGTGTCTACAAAATTCTTCTTTCTAGTTCAAGGGTTTCTGAATTGATTGATGCGGGAACTTTTGGCTTCCACATCTTTTTGAAAAATTTGGATGCCATAACAGGTACTATTCAGTGTCTTGATTACTCCTCCTTCCTTGATGTTTGGCTGGGTTAACTGCTCTCAGTAATTGTTTGGCTTGTTGGTTTGGTTTAGCGTCACATCAACCTATGAATTATTTAATAACTTAAATCTACATCTTTTGGAATTTTCAATTTTAGGCTTCAAATACAAATACATTTTTACTGCTAGTCATTTGCTATAAGAATTCGGTTTTAATTTTACTATAAAATGTATTGCTCGTCATTTACTTTAAAAAGATGTATTGATGGTAATTTTACTATTATTGCTTCAAATCAGGCACGAAAAGTTTTTTTGGTTGTAATTTCTTGTACATATAAGATTGTTACTATTATATATATATATATATATATATACTCACCATATATATATATATATAATTATTTATTAAAAATATGATTCCAACTCGCATTTATAAGGGTCATGTTTAAACAGGAGGGCCAGTACTTCAATATAATTATTTGAATTAAATTGATTAAATTACTAAGCTCTATTTCCATCTTCAAGCGAATTTCTTTTGGGAATAACTTATTTCTGAAATTTACGTGTTTTTAATAATTGAAATCAAAATTTCCCATGGTAACAGCTAGAACAATTGTTTAAATTGGGTAGGCGTGTGTTGGGTGTTAATAATAAGTATCAGTATAGAGTTACTTTCATAGATGTCACACAGTCAGGGAAGGCAGGGTGTCTAAATTTGAAACTGAGAAATCATAACTCTAATCTGGTTTGCGTGTCTATGGAAATTTATTTATTTTCTTTATTTTTTTTATAGAAGAGTTTTGTGCATATAAAAAAATAAAACTATATATTCTTGTTTTTTGACGACTTCATAAAGAAGTTATCTTTTTTGCCAGAATTATTTTAACTATTTATTGGGGCTATGGATTATGAAAGTTATTATATTGTACGCTTGTTTTTTAGTAATTATTGAAACCATGAATCAGTAGTTGGGCTATGGATTAATCAAGTTATTATATCGTATGCTTGTTTTTTAGCTAATTATTCAAACCATAAATCTGATAGTGTCGACAAAACCGTTAACTCATGTCTATTGTTTAATAGATAATTATTATTTAGAACCTGTTGAACTACATATAAGCATTAATCTATAATTGCATTCAAATTGATTACAATGGTCAGCGTCAATACGGATAATTATTGTGCTAAGTTTGCCTTTACATTGAAATGACGCCTGGTTTTTGGTTGGTTGTTCATCCGGTCGTTTTAACAAAGTAATCTCCTTGGTATATAAAACAAAAGTCTTTACGTACAATATTGCCAGATAATTTTTCTTTCAATATATTGTTACTCATGACAAAATGAAAATGATTAAAATGAAACAATGTCCAGTAATCTTACTGTTTGAGTACAGACCAGGAAAAGAACCATTTTGTGTCGATTCATTTATCGATCAGAAATGTATGTGACAACAAAGAGAATAGGCCAGAGGAGTTAGATGTGATGAATCACCAAAACAATACCCAAAACCTCCACTGCACCCTAAAAAAGTTAATTGCTGCAACAGCAATTGGTCTTTCAAAGGGGTTATTCATTATACATTTCACCTACCTCGGGGAAACAACTAACACCGTCTCATTGTGGAGACATTGAGTGTATTCATGAAAAATTAAAAAAAAAACATCTAGCCTTGGGGTGGGGATGCCCCAATTTTGCTAACGATAACAAACAGCTGAACATTTCTCAATCAACTGTCCAAAAACTGCATAGCCCTGAATTATGAAATTCAGTCTCATCCTCTATATTCTATATATCACTCCTACTAATTGTCTGTTATTTAAAATTTTCAGCAAGAAAACACGAGGAAGAGGCAATCAAACACTTGAACTGTTTATCATCATGGGATGAGAATTTATTTTAAAAAGATGGGTTTGAAATTTTACATATAAATTGGAGAAAGTCATTCACCAACCAGTACTTACCTTTCAACTAAATCAGTTTAGTTGTTTCATGCATACAAACGTTTATGCACTTCCTATAGTGCATCATTCATGTGTGAGAACCCTGCTTTTTTTTTTTTTCTTGGTACAGGTCTTAATCAAAACTGTTTTAGCTATTAGACATATTCAAGACCAGACAATAATCCTTTGTTCTCAAAGCTGGCTATTACTCACTTTGCAAAATAAACAATTAATAATCAATCCTTGCCTAATAAACACACTGACATTCATATATATATATATATATATATATATATATATATATATATATATATATATATATATATATATAAATAATAAAAAGAAAGAACAGTAGTTATATAATCCGAGGGTGTTCTTATAGATATTTTATTTTTACAAAATAGTATATTGTAAATTTACAGTGTATTAATATTATAAATTAATTGATTTAAAATATTTCCACAGTTCTAACCATGTTCAAAATATTTGAAAACATATTTTTAAATCAATTGAATTTATATATGTAAATATATATATATATATATATATATATATATATATATATATATATATATATATATATATAAGACTAATATTTCTGAATATTTACTCGCTTGTGACAGTGCAAATCCCAAAATATACTTGTGCAAAAGTAATAATTTAGCTGCATAAAAACTTTATTCTTACTTTACATTTACTACTTTACATATTTCATTGTTATTAAACAGATAAAAGAACCATTTTAATAATAATTTATGGATAATTGATTAATTGCTTTGTGTAGTATTATTGTAACTCTATAGTGGATTTATTGCACTATACACAATCTGAACACACACAATATATATATATATATATATATATATATATATATATATATATATATATATATATATGTATGTGTATGATAGAGAGAGCATTGAGATTATCTTGAAATATTGAAGCCATCTTTTCCTTTCAATTATTTTCTTTTAGTTTTTCTTTTTTATTTCTCCTCTAGGAATAGGTAACATTGTCGATATTCTAACGATATTAAATGTCATTTGCCATTCTTTTAGCACTCTGACATCTTTGTAAACCCCCTCTTCTCCAATTTCTTTTGAATTCTTTTCCTCGGTCATATGTTACAGTCAAGTGTTGAGAACCAATTCTGGGATAGGTGAGGACAAATCCCAAAAATGACTTGTAAAGAAGTTATACTTTACAACTGCCATCTCCTCCACATAAAACTTCTTCTTACTTTTATACAAACTATTTTCAAACTCTACATAGATTGCGCCCAGACTGCTCTTATCTCTGAAAAACACCCACACACACACACACACATATATATATATATATATATATATATATATATATATATATATATATATATAAATTATAACCTTACACTTCCGCTGCTAACTACGGAGATGTTGGTTTTCTTATCTTGCTCAGCTGGCTAAGTATGGAAACCTACACGTTTTTGCATACCACTGAGTATGAGTGTCCCGTGCGTCAAATCTGGGGAATAATGCTTTGAATGTCGCTGCTGTAAACCCATTAGTAATCTATTGAAAGTCATTCCAAGTATATCCATGAGAGTGGAAGGCCTTAAAAACACACTAGTGCCAGTTTTTTCTGTGTAAATAAAATATGAGTTTAGCATTTGGCATTTCTTTACAAAATATGGCTGGCCGGAAAGGGGGAGCAGCACACTGGGCAAATGGTAGCAGTGAAAGTGTTAAGTATATTTATAACATCTAAAAATAAGCATTTTGTTTAACACTTCTGGTGTTAAGTGAAGTGATTGTGTTGATTGTAAAAAATAAAAACGTTTTAATTTTTTTTTAATTGTACATTGTGTGGCTTCCATTTCAAGAAATAATGGTTTACACACCTTGTTTCCTTGTGAAGTTATCAAACTACTAACATAAAACATGGCTGAAAACGTTTATATGCCGTGCCGTGGTTCGAGAACTGAATTAGGATAGAAACAAGCTTATTTGCTCTTTATTTCCTCATTACATCAGGTAAACAAAAGAACTGAGGAGATTAAAATGGAAGAAGCCAGAGCAGAAACCCACAAAAAGGATTATTCGTTGAATTTGTAACATCAAACTTTCAAGAATTATATACAGGGCAGAGAATGAAGAAGAAGTAAAATGGGCGGCGACTTAGAACCAACAGCAAACTATTCGCAAACATCATTTGGTTCTAGTGGTGAGCTTGTGCAGATCAAGCACAATTATTGGGGGGGAAAGAGTTGAATACAGAGAACTGGTGGAAACTCAGCACTCAGTTCCTCAATCAAGAAGATCTGATTTCTTAATCCGAGCCGCTAATATAACACTACCATTTCCACTCTCTTTCTCTCTCCACACTCTCTCTACCTCTCTCTATATATATATATATATATATATATTGACGTCTGTATTATGAAATGGATAAAGGTCTGACGATTATTTTTTTTAGATGTTTTTTAAGCTAATACGTTCTTTTATAGATACAAATATTTAAGTAATGCTCTCTCTCTCTCTCTCTCTCTCTATATATATATATATATATATATATATATATATATATATATATATATTGAAAGCGTCATATTATGGAAATGGACAAGAGTCTGATGATTATTTTTTTTAGATGTTTTTTAATGTTATTACGTTCTTTTTTATAGATACAAATATTTAAGTAAATGCTCTCTCTCTCTCTCTCTCTCTCTCTCTATGTATATATATATATATATATATATATAAATTCTCACATAGGTGTTACATGCTTAATTACCACAAAATACGGAGGAATTCTTCAAGAAATAAACATGTAAGAAAGTAAAAATGGCCAACGCCTAGTTCTCTCTGAATCTAAGAATATTAAAACTTGGTGACTTTCATAAATTCTTGTGAAGTTTCAAGATACAAAATGAAAATTGATGAAACTGCAGAACGAGGCGGATGGATGTGACTAGATTTCAGAATTCATTGTCATTAGAGGCACCATAGCATAATAAATTCAAAGAAATTTGACTAAATTATGTATTTACGCTAAGAAACCAGTATTAAACTAAATGCATTTGAAGCAAAGATTAAGTTGGATCTGAATTATGGGCTACAGGATGTTGAATATTTGGCATAAGATCAACTTCAGAAATGATCACATCATAATGGCGAACTTATCAAACTCACGACTTAAAATCTATATAGATTACTGGAAAAAAAAAAACTGTAAATTTGGGGTAAAAGACCCAGTGCTTTGGAGACATAAAAGTGATATTTCAAGAAATTTCATTAAAATTAGACAGAGGAAAATAGATCAAATTGCTGAGAGGATATTTCATAGCAGAGTTGTACAAAATATTTTTTTGTTTTTTTCAGCATAGACAGATCTACATGTCTCAGATAATATCTTAACTAGCTGGAGTCTGGATTGTTGATGAAGATTATTCGCCATATTGGAAATAATAAAGATTCTGTTAACGTGAATTTAGAGTGGCAGTAACCGGCGCGGCAAGATAGACTGACGTCGCGGATAAGTTCAACCAAAATCATGAATCAAATGTGTGAGGATCGCGTACGAGCAACGTCATAAAAAAAAACTTCTTAATTGCTAGGAAAGTGACATACATTTTAATGACTGGAATAGATTTAATTGGTGAAATCTCTTTACAAACGGACCAAGAAGGCTGATATGATAAATTTGTTACAAAGTCCAGATATAAAGGTTCCAGATATGATTGATTCCCCCATGTGAGGGTTTCCGTATATGAAGGATTTACCGGATATAAGGGAACACTAAAACGAACAAGCTGACCGCTGACATTTCTTTATATGGTGAATCCTGACGACCGTTAAGAAAGGCCTTCCGGATATGAAAATTGGTTACAAAGTCCGGATATGAGAGTTCTTCAGGTTAAAATATAAAATAGAGTGAAATCAGGTTTTAACGTTTATTTTTCAATGTTTATGACAAACGAAATAAACTAATAGCGATTGAAATATAACAAGTTGATTTTAAGGAAAAAAGGCAAATTATGTAATGTTAATGAAATTCATTAAATTAAAAATTACCATTAATACAAAACAAATAATTTAACGAAATTTTTAATCCTTTATTTGCATGATGATTCTTTCTTTTCTATTACCATTTCTCAACTTTTCCGCATTGGTTTTGCTTTTGTTACATTTTTAAACAGTGCTTTTTTAACTCTGCTTGCTTTATTTGCAATCGTCCTTGGCTGAGTATTCTCTTTCCATAAATGATAACTTTCAATATTTTTCATTCAGTCCAGGTTTCGTCGTCATTTTTTTTTGTTTGTTCGACGTTGGAGAATAATTTCTTTGGAAGACTTTATATCCTTCAATGTTGACTTTTCTCACCATGAACTCATTTCTTTGTTTTGAAACATTCACCCGCGTCTAGTCTATTTAATTTTTTGCGATAATTGCAAAGTTGATACTTTTCTTCCTGTTCCCAACATCTTTTTAATACTGAAGCCATTAAAGATTGAAATAAGCATAAAGTAATTATCGAAATTAAATTTCCCGAAAAACAGAAATTTCCATAATCAATTCCTTCTATCTGAAATAGTTCAAATATACAGATCAAAATCTTTTGTCTGGATAGACAGGATTCGGATATGAAGGTTTCCGGATATTTGGGATTCTATTATAGATTGACCAATCAGAGTCCCCATGCATGTCCTGCTTGAAGATACAAGATGGGTGTTTTTAAATACTTCCCACAGTGCTTAATAGTTATTGTTTGTTATATAAAAGAAAACTTAAAAGAATGTTGTGCTATAATGAATTTCTAGTATTTTATTATGACTTACTTATTCACTGAATGACAAGTTAATCTGCAGATAACATTATTATGTGAAATTTAAGTGTTGTAATAGCAATTATATATACATATATATATATATATATATATATATTTATGTTTTTAAAGATATTTAAATACATATATACATACAACACATACATACATACATACATATATATATATATATATATACATATATATATATACATATGATTTAAAATTTTATTTACATACATATATATATATATATATATATATATATATATATATATATATATATATATATATATCTTTAAAAAAATATTCTTTCAAAAAGGCTTATTTTGAAACTACCATCTCGTTTCCAGCGCGTAACCTTAAACGTGGCAACATCAAGAAAACCCAGTCCGAAGAATTTCCAACGGATGGGCATGCAGTAGCATATATATATATATATATATATATATATATATATATATATATAGAGAGAGAGAGAGAGAGAGAAAGAAGAAGGAGGGACAGAGAGAGAGTGACAGAGAGAGATACATGAAAGAGATATCTAGGTAGTAACTTGTCTAAGACGAAATTCGAACTCAGGTCACGAATTTTGAGTTTGAACCACTATCATCTATCAGCTTTCGTTATTGGGTTTAAATCACTCACACACACGCAAACACACACATATATATATATATATAAATATATATATGTAATAATATCTCTATAAATAATGTATGTAAATTGTCATTTGATTTGTCTGCTTTATTTGACTCTGTCTTTAGGGGTTGGTTATTGTGAACGTACGGGTGCTCGTGATATCCATTTCTTTTTTAAGGCGAACACAGAAACCAATCTGAGCTTCGAATTACTGAACAGTTATTAGTTTCCGTAAGATTTTTCATTTCCCATACAGATGGCACCCATCTTGGTAGGCTTTCTTCAGAATGTTTCTGCCATTTTTTGCTTAGAATGAAAACAATATTTGAAAAAATTCGAAGATATTTAGTTCATTGAATTCACATCTATATCTATCATATCTATCTATCCTATCTATATCTGACAGTCTGTCTGTGTCAGAGATCATATATTTCTGTCTATTCTTATCTATATCTCTCTCACTGTCTGTGCATCTATCTAACTCTGTCTCTCTCTCTATATATATTTTTTTCTTAGAAAATGCGCCAACTTCCAGTTACTTATCTATCGATCTATCTGAATCATTATTATCTATCTATCTATCTATCTATCCTATCTATCTATCTATTTATCTATCTATCTATCTAAATGTATATCTATGTTCTCTCTCTCTCTCTCTCTCTCTCTATATATATATATATATATATATATATATATATACACATATATATATATATATATATATGTGTATTTGTTCCATATTTCAGTTCATATATCAGTCTATCTATCAAATTAACAGTTTCACATCTATCTATTTATTTCTTCTCTCTCTCTTGTATGTGTGTCTTGTCCAGTTTATATATATCCAGTCTATCTGTATTATTTTGTCCTCTTTCTGTAGCATATATGTGCATGTGTATGTATGTATGTATCTATACTATATATATATATATATATATATATATATATATATATATGTGTGTGTGTGTGTGTGTGTGTGTGTGTGTTTGTATGTGTGTGTGTGTATTTGTCCATTAATATCTATCAATCTATCTGTTTTTGGACTGAGTTGCATCTAATATTTGTCACGTAACTTTATCAGTGCGTTTCTATTTTACAATTTTGTTTATTTCCTTCTCTCTCTCTCTCTCTCTAAATGTATTTATTCCCTTCAAGAGGAAATTCATATTTTTCATCTCGATTATTTATATACATTGGATTTCTTAAATAATTTCCGCCGACCAGAAGCCGTTTCAAAACTAATGAAAATATGATCTGATACTTGCCTATTTATTCAAATTAGTAGAAGTTCAGTTAATCAATATTGCTTGGTTTTCATATATGATTTGTATTTAAATGAGTTCATAAGCCCAGTCGGGCGTTTCGTAGTGTTTTTCCGATACACGCGGCTGACGAAATAGATTTTTCCCATGACAGAGTTACCATTTCTTCCCGTTGTAGAGCAGTTTGCCTTCCAGGTCTATAGGACAGCCTGCTGCCTTTCCCGCCAGCTGGAGGTGAAGAGAGATGATTCCTACCTTTCCGATAGCACATTACGTGAACGGCAAAAGTTCACTGGAATTCAGACTTAGCTCCGATTCCTTAATCGAGCCGTTATCAAGTAATCAACCGTGCCTCATCATTTCATAAACCCACAGAATATTTTTAATTCCAAATCGATACATAAAGAAGAAAAAAATGCGTGAAATGGCATACAATTTGACCTCCAAAAAAAGGCCTCGTTTTCTCTTTATTTCTCTTGTATTGTTTCTCTGAGTGAACTGAAGATTATTCTGAGCTTCGAACAATGTACCTGCTTCAGTAATTGTAGGTAATTATAGAATTCGCTGGTCCGATGATCAGCGATTACCTTAACCCTAGGCCACCCAATCGCTGATGACAGTGGTCGTTTTTCGTTCTTATTTATTTCTATTTCAATCTGACGCAAAAAAAGACATTCCTTAATTGAACGGTTCTTAAAAATCAGACCCCCCCCTCCGCAAAGTAATGTGATGTTTGGCCGATAGGGGAATATTTGGGAAATAGTTTGAGAAAATTTAACACAATCTCTTATAACTTTCTCTGAGTCTCTCTCTCTCTCTCTCCCACTTTTACATACCCACAGAGGCACTTACACGAACACACATATCCTCTCATATGTAGACGAATTATGGGTTATACATGGCTTACAAAGGTAGCTATTGTTGAAAAATTGTCCACTGAAGCAATCATCTGCCCACCCCTCGCAATTGATTCACCATACATGTACAAGAGTATATCGTGTAAAAGCATAACTGCCCACCCACAAAATATTTGACATCTAAAAACAACAAAAAAACTCTAAAATGGTGAGATTTTTTTTTACCAGGTTTCAGATAAGATGTTTAGCCATCTTAGAGTTAGACACACCCTTTCTCAAGATTATTGAAACGTTAAAATGAAAAATTACCGATGAAGCTCTTATTAACACGAGCTTTATAGAAAACGTGCGAAGAAGGTGGTGGTGGGGTCTTTCGTGCGATTGCACTTGCAGCTGAATCAAGCTCTGACGTTTCATCCATGTTTTTGTTTAATTATTAGATTTAGGAACCATGCTATATTATTGAAAGTTATTATCGCCATTGAAAATTTACTGAATATCTAAAACATTGAAATAATTTAATCCCGAGCAAGGGCCATACAAGAAGATTTTCGATAGAATTTCTTTATTAAGAACAATAAAAAACTGCGAAGGACATACTCTAAAAAAGATGAGATGAAATTAGGTTAGTATGAAAACCGATGATGGATGCAAGCGGGGACGCAGACAGACATTTCTAGACAGGGGAACGTATACAGGGGTTTGCCCATGTACACCCGGGTAATGCAGAGTACCTCGGCTAGTAGACGAGAAACTTTCGTTTCAAACAAATACAGTCCACTGCTAAATATGCAGTAAAAATTTTCGATTCCTTGTATCGCTCCAGAAAGTATATGACTCCATCTGCGATGTCCTGTCTTTACAAGAGTCAAATTAAAACAAAAATGGAGTATCATTGACTTATCTGGGCTGGCGCTACACAATCCCCGATTTCTAGCCTTGTGAGTGTTCAAAATTGTTTTCACAGTTCAGTGGGAGATATGTATTCGAAATTCTGCAGTTTATTTCCCCATTTACACAATATCACATACCAATATCTTCTCTGTTGTTCAGATGAGTTACATTATTTAGATCAACTAATTAAAATTATTGCAATTAGGAAACGCATTTTTGTTTGTTTTTCTTTTGCTTTCACGCAGTTGAAACACCTTCATTTCCTCCAAAGTTAAGAAGAAAGTTATACTCAAGCATCTTCGTAAGTAATGCCACTTTATTGAACAGACTCCTCCATGGATACTTATCTGATCACTACACTTCGTTTGGCCGTTATCTAACTAAATTTTCCTTATAATATTCACATCCTCTTTCATTCACATCTCATATTCGTTTATCATAAGCGTTGTTACGGTGAGCCTCTATCTTGAGTGACTCTTGAGTCTTGTATTGGGTGTAATCTGGTATAAAATATGTTACTAATCTTTCAATAATAATTCAATTTTTGATAATTTGAATGTGTTTCATGAAAAGATCGGGACTTTATGGACATCCTTTCTAATACACAATAATCTACCACTGGTTCTGACAGACGTCCACATACCTATGCCACTAAACATGAAAACAATAGTCTACAAAACGTATCATAATTTTGAAAAGTTCCCCGAAACGAAGCCGAAGAACTGGAGAAAACCTTTGCAGCATATCCGGTCAGAAAAATCTATCACGCTAGTTACAAGCGTCTAATTAGTGAGTGGCCGCGGGGTATGATCTAATACTGTTTCGATTGCACATCATCAGTTCAGTTCCAATATTCCCAGCAGGGAACTACGTTCCCCGTGAGCGTCAATCAGGGTGTGCTACCGAGTAAAAGGCGGAATGGTTTAATGCGGGTGCTGAAAATCAGGGGGAAAGCGTTTCACAAAACCTGGGCATTGGAAGAGTCACAATATTTGAACTTGAGATATCTTTGCTGACAAATATTTTAATTGTTACGAAATAATTCTGATTTACATGGAGAGAAATCTACCTGTCTCAGTCTTTTTATATCTATCTATCTATCTATCTCAGTCTGTTTACATCTATCTATCTATCTATTTATCTATCTATCGAACTCAGTCTTTTATGTCTCAATCTATTTTTATATCTATCTGAGTCTTTTTATATCTATCTATCTATCTATCTATCTATCTATCTATCTATCTATCTATCTATCTCAGTCTTTTATGTCTCAATCTATTTTTATATCTGTTTATCTGAGTCTTTTTATATCTATCTATCTATCTATCTATCTATCTATCTATCTATCTATCTATCTATCTCAGTCTTTTTCTATCTCAGTCTTTGTATATCCATCTATCTATCTCAGTCTTTTTATATCTATCTATCTCAGTATTTTATATCTATCTATCAACATATTCTTATATAGATAAATTCAAGAGGCGATGAATAAATTGTCGCATAAATTGCGCAAAAATGAAAATAAAACTAACGTCTCATATTAACAGATATATTTACCAAAATTACATAAAAAATATCTTGAACTAATAAAGAGTACATTGTTTCAGTGAAATCGGCATTGGCTTCAAACGACTTCGGAATCTCCTGCAACTCTTTTGGACGATTTACTTCTTTAAGTTGGTGAATGCTGCCATGATCCTTGCCTTCAGTTCATGTTTGGTGTTACAAGGCATTTTATTGGTTTCTCGTTCAACTACACTCCGAGACATAATAATCAAGGGCGTTAGGTGGCCAGATATAAGGTGTGATGTAGAAATTGTCTGACAGCCATGAATGCGTTCTTCTGCTTGTGTGGAATGATGTGGTCCCCTTATGCCTGATGTAAGTTTATTTAGCAGCCACCGTCTTGACTCAGGGCTGTAGTACCTCGTCAACGCCCTTGTGTTGAGTCTGAGGTTCTGTAGGAAGATGAATGGAGGCATAACCTTGCCATCACTAGTAATCACTCCAGACACTATGATATATATTATCCAACTCATTCCGAATCCTCTGAAATTTCATCATATTGACACCAAAACACACTGAAATGATCATATTGGAGATTCCAGCACGAATATCAAGCAATACAACATGCCGTTTCCGAATTTCTGGCTCAGTGAATTATGTCGTTGTGCTCTTTATTTCACAGACGGTGCCCAACTGATCCGACTATACTGTGCAATTGACAAAATCAAAAACAAAAAACGTGCATGCAATATATATATATATATATATATATATATATATATATATTTATTTAAGTCTAGGGTTAGCTTTTATCTCCCATATGTATCCCTACAAACTGTGCCTTGTATAATGTGAAAATCATTGTCAAAAATATTTTGTCAATGTTTTATCTATCTATCTATCTATCAGTTTTATCTTGTTTGGGCTTCTTAGAGTATGTGTGTTTAATCAGGTGTGCGTATGTGTGTATATTATCATGAGTCTTAAGAAAGATATGTTTAATCGGGAAACAATAATGTTATATATATATATATATATATATATATATATATATATATATATATATATATATGTATATGTATATATATATATATATATATATATAATAATTTTATCATAGACTTAAAAACCATTTTACTCACTAAAAAGCAACTTCGTTTCAGTGTATTTCAAATGCACTTCGACGGGTGAGAATCGAAAATGGTTATGAACAATCTGCTTGTAGGTTAGCCGTTTGCCCAGAAACGTCACTTCCTTTCTCCTTTTTTTCTTCTTTTCCATTTGTTTGAGAAGAAATATATACCTAAAACGCCTGCAATTCTCAGAACGAACTTTGTCTTATGTTTACAGGAGAAAAAATGTATCATTGAACTCTTGAATAACAGCCAATTATTAAATCAAAGATATGAAACAACCGTTTTCTGTAGACATACAAATCATCTAACACTACAGTCTTGTTAAATTCTTAATTTCATAACTATAAACGTTTTAAAATTATAAATCACCTCCTCCGATATATCCCCTACCCTCTTTATGTACCTCTCCACTAATTAAATTATAATTTTAATTTTTTTTCATATGTATTACTGGTATTATTTTCAGATAAATCCTTTTACACCCATACTTATTCTACACGCTATACGGTCCAGGAATATTTCAAAATTTGATTATAAAAGGTTATATTAGCATCCCCCCACTTTTTTTTAGAGGAAATCACCACTTTTAAATTTTAATCCCCAAAACACGTTCATTGATTACAGAATTAGTAGTGATAACCCCAACATAAATACATGCAATTCAGCTCTAGAATTTTTATAGTAAACCAAAAATAACATTCCCAATTACGACTACAACTATCGATACAATTTTTTTACCTGCTTAAACGTAATACTATCCCCTCTCTCCATCTTTCATCCTTACCTCTCACTCTTAGGACGCTTGTGAGATGATGTACCTCAACTTTTGACCGGTGTTTATTGGGAAAATAATTTCCACAGACCAGTCATCATTAAACACCCAATCCATTCTTCACCAAACTGCTATCAACAAACACTATTGTTTTACTCCGTCGGCTTTACATTCTTATGCATATTTTTCTTCTCAAACAAATGGAAAAAAAAAGAAGTGACATTTCACATACGGCTTCCCTACAGCCAGGATTGTTCATAACCATTTTCGATTCTCACCCGTCGAAGGGCAGTTAAAACGCACTGAAACGAAGTTGCATCTTTGTAGGGTGTAAAATGGTTTTGTCTATATGATAAAATTATATATATATATATATATATATATATATATATATATATATATATATATATATCAGTTTTATTATTGTTTCCCGATTAGGCTTATATCTTTCTTAAGACTCATGATAATATACACATACGCACACCTGATTAAACACACATACTCTAAGAAGCCCAAACAAGATAAAACTGATAGATAGAAAGATAGATAGATAAAGCATTGACGAAATATTTTTGACAATGATGTTCACATTATACAAGGCATCACTCACTGTAGACAGAGTAAGAGGCACAGATTGTAGGGATACATATGGGGAGATAAAATAAACCTAGACTTGAATATATATATATATATATATATATATATATATATATATATATATAATAATAAATAACTATCGCTCTACTATCGGTATCGAGCCCTCTTTTGATTAATGCTGTGAACGTTGGAATTTATATATTACTTTCGTTCTCATCGTATCGGATATATATATATATATATATATATATATATATATATATATATGGTGGGCATAATAATGGGGCACATTTTAAAATGCAAGTATCTCAGATTTAAACAAATGATTAACGAGTACCAAATATATTTGTTACATAACTGATATCCAACTAATATTTTGAATATTGCCTTCCTGAGATGGTAACCAACAACAGGAAAACATGGAATAGCTTGCTCTCTCATTTCAAACAGCGGGGCTTAGCATATCAACTCGCATTCCCACGGCAAAGCATGCATAGAAAGATCGCAGTTATTCTAGTTGATATAACGAAGCCACACTGTGGTTGATATGAGCATGTATTCACTACGTGGTGGTCACCGTCTCAGGGATGTAATCTTCAAATGTTATATATATTCAACCCTTGTATATCTGTTATGTAATAAATATATTTTGGTACTCTATGTCATTTTTAGAATTTATGTATAGTTGCATTTAAAATGTACCCCATCTTTATTGGACTATTATATATATAATATATCTTATGGGGCACCTAGAGGCGGTGTTATTGTTAGCAAGTTTGTCTCGCTAGAATAATTACGATTGAGTAGCGATTCGATCCTCAATGAGAGCCTTCTACTTTCGGCCTTCTGCCACATCTAAACCCCGCTTAGAAAATCACTATAAATAAACCTCTCCGGCCACCTCGAGGTGGTGTTAGGGTTAGCAAGCTTGTCTCGCTAGAACAATTACGACTTCTAATTTCGGCATTGTACCACATCTAAGCTGCGCTTGGAAAATCACTATAAAAGCCTGTGATCATTTGAATTATCATCTTCACCTCCTCATCTTGTTATTATTATTATTGTTACAACACTTAGAGAGGAACACGATTTAGGAAAAATTCAGTGTGTAATAATGTCTAACAATATATATATATATATATATATATATATATATATATATATATATATATATATATATATGAGTGTGTGCGTGTGCAAATATATAGAAAAAATAGTAAAGAGCACGTTAGGTAAATAATCCGAAGTTTTTTAGTATTTTTGTTTTTATTTAATAAACAGTATTTTTACATAAGTAGAGCATAAATTATAATAATTTTTTTAAAATATGATTCCTTCGCTACATAAGAGGTCTCATGTTTCAAACACAAGATCCAAAATTTCTGTTTCTTCCTCAAGCGACAATTTAGGAATAACTAAAGCCGTTTCCAGAGTAATTAATTCTACGAATGAATATGCTTATAAAGATGCGTAAACATGAAGGTTAGTTATTCCCAAAAAATTCGCTTGAGGATGAAACAGCTTTTGACTCTTATTTTTGATACATGAGAACTCTTATTTAGCAAAGGAATTATATTTGTAAAAAATAATTATATATATATATATATATATATATATATATATATATATATATATATAGAGAGAGAGAGAGAGAGAGATAACTGGTGAGGTGGACATTAATCTATTGGTAAGAAAGTTCAACAAAGATTTTACTGCTTTAGTAAAAGGTGTGTTCGATATGAAATCGATTATGCTGATTCGAGCATGTGCGACTGTTCTGTTATTCGACTGCGTAAAATTGGTAAGAGCTTTCGAGATAACAAAAACCTTTTTGTCTGCAAATGATGCCGTAATAATCTAAAGTGTGTGCGCCTGGACTTGATTCCTCTCCTGATTTCGAATTCCTCTAGTCTTGTTTGCCAGATTATTCTGTTCTTTACACAACTTTCCCGTAACGTCTAGCACGACCATCGCCTTCATCTTTCACGAAATCTTTAGGAAACCTAGCAAAGACGAAATACTTACTTTAATGGTTTTCTTTCACAAAAATCCTACATTATTTACATTATTCGGACTGTTATGCTTATCTTCATTGCCTTATTCACAACGTTTCAGCTGCTGTACGCTTCGGCCTTCTCCAGGTGTTTGGACTTTGGAATGTTCTAGTTCCACGTGCCATTCTTCTTCCGATGTCTCAGTGATTTCCATTCAATTCAACACTCCAATTTTTTAGTTCACGAAAACTTACAACCATTTGGGTCTAGTCACTTGATCAAACCGAAGCCTTTATTTACTGTGCCACGTGTCCTTGAGGAGATCTGTGTATGATAATGTTTCAAAAACCATAGGGATATAGACAGATAACCCTGTAGTCTTTCGAATTTTCTCATTCTCGTTCCCATGTTGTTGTTGTTGTTATTATTATTATTACAGCACTTAGAGAAGAAGACGATTCAG